AGCTTTGTTTACAGCTGAAAAGATGTGTAGGATTGTATGAGTCAGCAGAGCCAGAGGTGACAGAACACCACACAGTGGGCCACTAGGTGGCAGTAGCACATGCAGTTTGACTGTTATGAGTCAAGACATGATGTGTGGTGCTAATTATTAATTTGGAGAATTTATATGGGTTGAGCAGATTAACCTCCCACCTGAGTAAAAATGAGCTGCTGCGCTCTCATTAACCCTCGTTTCACCCCTCTCTGTGCTCCGTGTTTATATAACCCAGAGCTTTTTTATTTATGTAGCAATTTTCTTAACAAAGTTACAAAGTTCTGAACAGAATTAAAATACAATCTGCTGGAATAGATGCAGATTTGCTGCAGGTCGTTTGAATGACTATTACACATGATGTAAGTATACTTATAATCAACCCTCACTAAACCGAGAGTTTGACACCGTTGATCACTTCAACACAGGGCCTCAAAATCAGGTCATGTAGCCACTTCAAAGTCCTTATCATGTCGGTGTATGTTACACTGAAGTGGCACAATATGATGATCTCATATTCAAACCCAAATTACGATTAAAGACTCAGGATGTAGAAACTCAGTGCTGTGCAATACAATAAACCCATTATAATAGCTGCACATTCTGCCTATGCAGGGTTTGAATTATGGTGTCCACTATACTTTATGTGACAGATGCATTGATTGAGCACATTTTTGGGGATTTATGTTTTGCCTTGCTTGACAAAATACCAGCTGTTAGAATTGCCATCACACAAATGATGTAATACATGAATTATGCAAATTAGTCATAATAAATTTTAAATCAACACTTGTCTAATAAACTAAACAGGTGGCATAAAACAGGTTGTTACCACTGGCATCATTTTAAATTGGATTCTTTTCATTTTTAAATGAAAGCTGAAATATGTGGAAACATGATAAAAACAGAGCTCTTTATTTATCTCAAGTCTTATTGTAACCATTTTAAAATTAAATATACCAGAAGCTCTTGAAGTCAAACTCATGTGAAGCTGCCACACAACGAGCCAGAGACAAGTTCTACTCAAAGTGAGTGTTTGATGAACTCTCTACATAACATCCTGTTAAAAGTGCATTTTGAGAGAAGCTGTACGTGACAGAACATAGTATTGTTAGCTTAGCGTAGCTTAATGCAGTGCCTCATTTTTGACACTTGTCTGTGCTGGTGCACTGTCGAGCGCAGATTTAAAGCAAGCAGCCTTCGACTTCTAGTGTTATGAACCTTTAATAACACACATTAAAGGGAGGATTTGTCCTCGGGGGTCACCAAAAGGGAGTGACATTACACCCTTTTAAACTCATTTTACCTGTTCAGGGTATCTATTTCTCAGGCAGCAGCAGGAGGATACTGAAATATAATGCTAACAAACTACAAAGAAATTGCAGGATTTCACCCCAAATTGTAGCTCTGCAGGAGATTTTATTTTCAGCTCTATTATATAGTGCTCCCTATCTCGTTCTCTTTATTTAAGGTTGCAACAAAATGGTAGGGTTCACTTTAACACAGCAGAGATCCAAAATTTTAACTCAGTGACTCATCACAGACACCCCATCATTTCCAGGAGACTGTACACTTTGAGATTCACACATGTGCTCGTGTGTATGCAACCCGAGTGTTGATGCCTTTGGCATCGGAATTGAAACACAATGCATTTGTCTTTTGAAAACTGAGAAGTAAAGACAAAGCACTATTTTCCCTTTAGAGGAGTGCATCTATATCAGATTGGAAGATGCTATTATTACTCTGATTACCATCTTTTGCATTCGATAGCACGTCTTCTCTACGGTGAAGGGGAAAAATGGGAGTAATGGTGAGAGGAAAATGCAATCTAGATGTCAGACAAGCACTTGATTAACCACTTACAGAAGCAGTCTCTGCATCAGGGAGAGGCCATGCCATCTCAGTTTTCCACTCAGCCT